CCTCTCCAAGTTGTCTTAAAGGCACTTTCCGCGATAAAATAAGGCTATGACCTTTCAAATGTGTCAGACGATCCGGAAGGAGATTGCGGAGGCTGCGCTACCTTTAGAAAGTGAAAATCGGCAAGAATTCCGCTTCAAGCTAACCAATTAGGCCCATGGGCGCCCCTTAGGCCCATGCCGACCCCCACCGGCTGCTAGCTACTAGCTAGTAGCCACTATGCTATCTCTCTCCATTCCGAATGGTGAGAGTGAGGTGATACGATAAAAGAGCTGATATCTTTATGATAACGACGAGTGGAAATTCGTACAAACATGCGTTTTCTTCATTGCATGCATGTACAAGTTGGGTCGATATGGAATCCTATTTAGGGCATTTTCGGCTGTTTTTCTGCTGCTTTTCTCCGCTAATCAGATACCTAGCCCTTTTTCGTTCCTATGTGGGTTCCGTTACCCACAATCTGTGGTCGCGGGCTTTGCCTTTAAAACTTTCGCGGCTGCGTGTACTCCCGGGCGCACACGCGCCTATTCCGTTTTTTATATTTTCTTTTCCTTTTTTACTGAGAATTGGATACATATAATCGAACAAACAATCGAGAAGCAATATTCACACATTATTAGAGGCGTGTACACCCGTAGAAACACTTAAAAACTTTTCTCTTCGGGTGAATCGTGTATTCCCAGGAGTACGCGCGCCTCTTCCCTCGATTTTGCTATATATTTTCTTTTTCGCTAATAATTATATACAGATAATAAAACAACAATAGATAAATAATATCCACACATCAGAAGAGGCGTGTACTCCCGAAAAAACGCGCGAAAACCTTTCACTTCAGGCCAACGATGCACTCACAGGAGTGCACGCTTTTTCTTGTTCTTTCTCGCCTTTTTTTATGTTTCCCTTCTTTTCACCGGCAGTTACCTACAAATAATAAAGTAAAGAATATAGAATTGATATTAAGAACATCTTTTGTGTATTTCTTGAAGGCAGGTGAGGCAGTATTGGTTTTTACAACAGGAACAACAACTATTTGTAAAACTTTTCTGTCAGTAAAGTCTACATCTTCTCTGTCCTGTTCCAGTCAACTTCAAAAAGAGCAGAAAGCTAGTTGACATGTGAAATGTAGGCAAGACCTATAGAAGAGAAAAAATGTAGAGAACAAAAAAAAATAATTACGTGAGTTTTGGCGAAGTGTATCCGTCGCGAACGCGCTGAACCATAAACGGAACGATTGCCCATGTCGCCCGCCGCGAACGCGCCGCCTGACAAACGGAAGTTTTTGACGAAACGCCGCCGCCGCGAACGTGTTAAGGTCGAACCGAGTTTCCGGACAGACAGACAAACAAACAAAAAAAGTAACATACAGCAAAAAGGCAGACGAAGCAAATTATGTATATAGTGAGTGATGGCAGTGTTCCACGAAAAGCACATTCAACGCCACTTTTCGAAGGAACCCCACAGCCTCTCCCGTACGTTGAAGTATACAAGTCTTCAACTAAGAGACCGCTGTTCTATGTTCCTTTTTTAGAATTATCTGTCTGCGAAACGATCAAATCACATTGTAGGAGCCACTAAACTGCTCTATCATTAACCTGCAGGCGCGAGCATGTCCCTGTTGATAGGTAGGACTGTAGAATGTTCCGAAGAAGTGACACAAATGTTGGGGACCTACTGGAATTATGTGACCTCTTCTAATCATAATATCTCTATGAAGGCGGGGGTGGGAAGTGGCCCCGCGCACGGTCGAGGGTTAGATTCCAACGGAATCCTGACAGGAAACAAAGCATTCTACTCTCCATGAAGGGTGAATTTCTACCAGATCCGCCTGGGAGGGTAATCATACTGTCTTGTACATCGGCTGGTGCCCGCAATTCATTGTATAGACCACATCGTATTCAATTAGTCACTACGACTCTGAATGGGAATGTAATGCTGCATCTCAAAAAGGGACTGAAGAACGGGGAAGACATCATCCATGACTATCAACATCTTCATGACACTTTGTAAGACTCCTACTATGTATCCGTGCATTTACGCCTGAAGCTGGCCGCGTAAAGCGGAAAGCGAAAGCGGAAGTGATGAGAGGTCCACGTGGCAACTGTAGGGATATCAGATGTATGATAAAAAAGAAGAGGAGAAACCATTAACGAGTACACTAAATCGTTGGGGTCTGAGATTAGCCCGTCACTGCCGCGTGATGGTAGTTGCGACGACTTCTCACTCCTTACAGTAAGATGAAACGTCTGAATGATAAGTTAGCAGTCAGTCACGGGGGTGTTAGAGACAGAGGTGGAGGCAAGGACGTGTAAAGAACGCCTAGTTTGTTCTGTAAAGGAGGATCGTGGCGGCAGGAAACCGACAATCAACAAGCAAAAAGTATTCGTCATGCTCACATGAAGGGAATTCCTTCGGATGCGTTTCTTTGCTCCATATTCCGATGAACTCCAGCTCGTATTTTGCTTGGTCACATGCACAACATTCCACATCCGGATCGTCCACTGGCACCACTTTTTGATATCCTTCTGAAATGAGAAATCTTGAATACATGAGAACCTATTGTTTGCCGGGCCGTCAGTTCAACTATTCTACAGCAAACTACCCAAAAACAGGTCAGTTGGGACCGAGTACTTTCTTAGGGGCAGGCTTCGGTCGGACTCGTTTCTAGAGATAGTTCGATCTCCTCAACACGAATATCATATCACACCTGCTTGGCTTGAAGGCGCCGGCTCCAAAATCCCCAAATCACCGAATTCGCAGAAATTTGTCACCGTGGGTAGTTCGACCTCCTGGGCACGAATATCACATCCGCTCACCTTGAAAGTCCCTGCGTCCGCGTCATAGGCGCCGGCCCCGAGGTACCTTGGATCAGAAAACCCGCTGAATACTTGTATGCGCGATTTATTCGACATCTCGATCATCCTGCGCTCTGCTAAGGCTGAGCTTGGACCAAAGGAAATCACTGCTTCTTAGCAGAAGGCTAAATGGCTGGTGTTGAGAAATGAGTGCCATTTTCGTGATCAGGGCATAAAACAACCCTACGATGTAATTGTTTCATGATGATAGCTGCTGCTTTACGCCTCAATTGGCGTCAGGGCACGCCATCGCGTTGTGATCATTTTCTGAAAATTACGAGCCCCATCCTAATTCCATACTAAAATACGACTCCCCTTTTTGGGAGTTGGTACGACCCCCCCCTCCCAGCCCCTCTGTCCTTCCTCATCGAACCGAGCCGTCGCGCGGGGAGGGGGAGGTCGTCACAATTAAACTATTATTTTCAAGTGTCAGAAATTTAGTAGTGCGTCCGTGAACTGACCAAATACGACCCCGCCCCCCTCCCAAAATGACCCAAGTGCGACCCCCTCCCTCGCGGTCAAATACGACCCCCCTGTGTGATGATCACAACGATGGCGCACCCTGGTTCGCGTTCCAAAAGTTATCACAAGAATGCTGACTAACGGGCAAAAGTCGAACCCCAGGCGGGGCTCGACTCCCGCCTAGGGTTCCACCAACTCAGCATTCTTGTTCTAGCTACTACGTGGGTTTTTATCAATTTGAAAAAAATGTGTGGCGCTGAAATAGCGCCTAATGGCACCGAATGGCGCCAGAGCTGGGATCGTAACGTCCGCGATAGCGGCATTAACTATCCTTACGGGTAATCCTACACCAAAAATTTTCTGAGTTTTTTAGGTAGTAATGGTTGAATAGTGCCCTTGGGCTTACGTACCAAGTCTTTTGAGCCTTTCTTTCTAGTGTTATTCTCTACGTTCTCAGAATGCCGATAACAAACTACTGATTTATTATTACTAAGAGCGTAATTAGAGAGAGAGGGAGAGAGAGGAGAGGGAGAGTGAAAGAATCTGAAACCTTTCTACCGTACCTTCTATACAGAACTTCTTGGTGAGTTGACCTTCCTCCGAATACCAGACGTACTTCGATTCGATAACGGAAGCACGGAAGATAACACAGCCTGTGGATACCTGGAGATATTGAAATGCTGAATTGGATTCCATAAGAACGAGCTTTTTATTTGAACAGACGCACGTCTGGGGCCTTCCATGTGGCCTCGATTGATGTTTTTGGTCTGAGATTTGAATGAGAGACACCAGCTCTGCGACATCCAGGCGACGTACGAGCATCACCTTTTCCACGGACCACCTCAATTCAAATTTATAGAATAAGCTGTTCTTAGAATGGCGCTCATTATTAAATAAAGCTGATACGATAAGTGAAACATTGCGTGTGTAATGTAAACAAATAAAAAGCTGCTTATACTGGACAGAAAGGATTCTTGAAGGGAACGATGACATTTGAAGAAGGTTTTTGTCTTATAGGTTTTGGCTAGTAAACATTTGGCGAAAACGGTCAAGGTCTCTAAAGGAAAGGTATTGCTTGCTCCCCAGCGGAAGCTCGCTGACGAGATCTAACAGACTTTGAAGGGAAGGCCCGTGATCACTCGCCATCACGGATGCTGAACTAGAAGTTTGCGTATAGACGAAAAGGTTCTGAGTAAACTCTACAGTCAAAAAAAGCAGAAAAAAATATGCAAATTGCCCTAGATAGAACCCCATTCCGATTGTAGTTTGTACGTGCCCAGTTAACTCCATCTCCAACACTACGCCCTCATCCGCACAGCTGATTCCCCGATAAGAACTCTACGACCGTACAAGTGACGATTTTCATGCTTTTTCGTCCTGCAGCTTCGTTTTCCACTGAAAGGCGGGCCTTGAAGGCGGAGTCTGGAGGCGGAGTCACTGGAAAAAAGGAGGCGTCACTGAACCTATATTGCGCTACAGCGCCCCTCCCTTACAATTTTTTGCCGCGAAACCGGTACAAGGTTGTCGCAGACCACAGTACCGTCCCGACGCCATACTTTCAACTTCTATACCTGATCGCGAACCGTGCCTTCACAGACAGCGCACATCCATACTGTTTTATGTGCAGGAAGGGAGTCACACTGGACCGGACAAATCGATAACGTTGAGCACCGTTTTTCTTATTTGTTATTATTCAGAGGTTCAGAGGTACGTAGATCTTGAAACAGGGCAACTTAAAGACACATAGTACGCTCACACACATTGAGGGTGTATGAGACTATCAGCCCCCCAGCTGTCGATGTGTCGTGGTCCCCCCGCATGCCCAGGAATGGAGATACAGGACCGTGAAACACGCTAATTCCTCCATGCTCCGCCTTACACCTTTTTGCGGCGCAGATTCCCGTCCTTCATAACATCCGTCGTAAGCGCGCGTGTCGCGTGCGGCTCCTTGGCACTTTGCCAAGTCCTTTAATTGCGCTCTCAAATAAAACGCAATTTCCTGATGCGGATAACATTGGAGGTGCTACAAAATAAGAACAGAAGATGATGACGAGGGTCAGAACTCAAAAGCAATCCCTCGGAGGCCGCGTATTTCCACGAAACATGAAAATAAAACGGCATACTCGTTAGTTTGATACAAGCAAAACAATTTCCTGATGCGAATAAAATTTTAGGTGTTGCTCATGCTTCAAAATCCATGTACAAGGAGATGAAGATGACACAGGCTAGAAATGAAGCACAACGATGTAAATGTAAATAAAACAAAAATGAAAAAATCAAGGAAAGGCAAATTAGTTAAAATCGGCCTGTAAATTTCTACGATCCGGCGCGAATCCGGCGCCAAAGCCATAGAAATACTTAGAACAAACGAGTGGGACGCTTGGGCTGTTTTTATTCTCATGTTTTGTGGGAATGCGCGGCCTCTGATGGATACTGCAGATGCAGCCGAGTTGCTCTTGAGTTCTGGCCCTCGTCATCATCTTCTGTTCTTATTTTGTAGCACCTCCAATGTTATCCGCATCAGGAAATTGCGTTTTACTTGTATTTGAGAGCGCAATTAAAGGACTTGGCTTACGACGGATGTTATGAAGGACGGGAATCTGCGCCGCAAAAGGTGTAAGGCGGAGCATGGAGGAATTAGCGTGTTTCACGGTCCTGTATCTCCATTCCTGGGCATGTTTGGGCGGGGGGACCACGACACATCGACAGCTGGGGGCTGATAGTCTCATACACCCTCAATGTGTGAGCGTACCATGTGTCTTTAAGCGAGTTAGGGCCTGTTCAAGTTGCACTGTCCTTGGATCTGTCTGGACCATATGAGCACATCTATTTGCATGGGCAGGTATCACGCAGAAGTTCCACGTCCCACCACATCTGTGTGGAGATCTATTGCATAGAGCATCCAGCTATGAAGCGAATGAAAGCTGAACCATAAAGTGCCTACTTCCGCTCCATTAAGTGATCCGCTCCAGATGCATTCTTGGGCATTCTAAAACGCTCACTTGAAATGGTACACAGGAAAGGGGGGGGGGTTCGCATAGCTCGAAGTCTTCCCCCATACCTCATGAACCGTGGGAACCTTAACAAGTACTCACGTAGTCCTTAAAAAGAAAAAAAAATCTGTCCCTTCCAGAGATGTTCTCACTGTTTATCGGGAGAAAATAACCATCGCCCAGAGAAGAAGGAAGATAGGGTTTAAAGGAGCTCGCATTTGAGGTTGAAAACTCCCCCACGAGTCCCTAACGCTACATGTTTCTCAAAGTCAGACAACGTCTGCGCACATTCTACCATCTGCCTACTTTCAAAAGTTATGGATCTCCTAAAGAATAAAGTGCCTCGCTCAATGGTGTGTCGGCAAATGTGCTCCAACGCGATTAAAGGACACAGGCAAACGCATTTGAATTTAAGCGCGCGGGAAAATAATTCAGGCATCTGACAAGTTCTGAACACGTTCTTTTTCGGTTCAACAACTCGTAGTGAGGGGAAGAAACCCTTTTTAGGGGGGGGGGACGTTGGACGGACTCGACCGAATGATCAACGCATGATATGCCCTGGCCTCCCCCTCTCCTAGGCGTTGCATTTTGCAGAAATTTCCCGCTTCTCCGCATGCGCTGGTGATGGTGTAATTTGACAGCAGGTCGTGCTAGAAGAGATTACAGGATTAAAAACTGAGGACTTCGACCTTAAAGACAACTCCCGCGATCAAGAACTACTTAACAGGGGCTCTCAATTAGGAACCGGTAGCCAATAAGGGACTTTCCAGTGAAGAAGGATCGAAAAAAACCCCGAGAACACTTCGAAAAAAGATCACACCTTGACAGACACACAATCTCAATGAACGGCTTTCCAGATGCTTGCAAATCGGCATCTGCAGACTCAGTGTAACACTGAACCCTGGTTCACAAATCATTTCTTTGCATTATCTAGTACTACAAAGCAGTGCACACTAGAAAAAAAAAGCGGAAAAAACATTAGGGAAAAACTCTCAACAGAAAATAGCTGGCGAAAGGTCTGCGTGCAAAATTGTGCAAAATTAGAAGTTCTATGCAAAGCTTGACGAGCTCTTCCACCAGCGCAACTTGCATCATTAGTAAATTCGAAGGGGCGGGCTGCGATGACCTATGAAAGTGGAAGAGATTGTGTCTTAAAGGCTGAGCCCCCTTCAAGTATGATGAGTTATGCGGCTCAGATAGTAATAGCAAGGTAGCAAATGACAGCAGCAGTGAAGAAAAAAAAGCAGAAAAACCGGAATCGGAACTGTCCTGTATGGAACCCCGTCCGAACTGGGTTTGTACTTGCATAAGGCGAAAAGAGGTCGTGGTCGCGCGAGTTCTTACTCTTTGGTATCAGCTGTTTTCCCCTTATCACCTCACTTGCACCATTCGAAGTGGAGAGTGCCAGTAGCAGAACAACCGCACCATCTGGCAACCATTAGAAATGAACGGTGGGCGGTGCCAATGATTGTAGGTTGGGCCAATGAGAGGAACGATACTATCGTGGGCTTCCTCAGGCGTACTGTCCTCATCATTACGGACTGTCGGGGCGTGTCAGCCAGTAGGAGTGCGCACACTGTTGAAGCCGTTCTCAGCCTTTTTGTTGAAACGCGTATGCGACAAAAAGTGGTAGAGTAATACGAAGGATATAATACAGTAATGTCACTTGCCCGCTTCAACAATTGGTGCAGAACGACTTCGGTACCGCGCCAAACGCAGCCGCACTGACACGCCCCGACAGTCCGTAATGAGGATTGTACTTGCGCCGAAAAAGTAGTGTGATCGCTGCTTCCGCGAACTTGACTACCTGCTCACGAAGAAAGAGGGGAATCTCAATCAAACGCGAGGCCCTGCTTTCAAGGGTAGGTAAGGATAATGTTGTCAGCAGTGGACAACTTCTGCCAGGTTCGCGGCGGAAAGTTGCAAGGAAAAGAAGGTAAAGCGAAGAGCTGCTTCAATGGCACTCTATTACCAGTAACTCCGCATACCAGTCAAAACGATCCTACCGGACAAGTAGCATGAAATAGATGCTCTGCTGTAGCTGACCAGATGAAATAGATGCTGAAAAGATGAAATGGATGCAGAAGTAGATGCTCTGCTGTAGAGATAGAGATGCTGAAAAGATGCAATGGATGCAGAAGTAGATGCTCTACTGTA